ATAATTGAGAACTAATATGGTTTCCCTATAATGTTGAATTCCTTTTCAAAACCTATTTATGAATAAGTTATACTAAAATCAACATGAAAGTTAAAAGCTGTTTCAGTATAACAAATGGAGTGCCTCTCCACACCTAGGTAATCCTTAGCAGCCAGAAGCACCTGGACAAAAGTCGTGACTACACGTTCCTGCATCCTTGGCTGGGCACAGGCCTCCTCACTTCCACAGGTTAGTGATATTTTGAATATATGTACACTTATATCACGCATCATGCTCTACATACCGTAATCAATGCGCGCTGTACATAATACACACACACCGCCACATACTCAGACACCTAGCTAGCGTATCGTCGTGTATACAGTTGTTATGTTACAAGAGGTGTAAATTATTGTTGAAGGCCACCTAATGCCCTTTGCCCAGGCTAATAATGTCACCGTGGCCCGGCCTAAGTTGCCCCTTCAGTGTACTTCAGATATGAGATATAGGCTAAACAAATGAATCATTAACAATTGGTCACATGTGCTCTCGTGCCATTTCTAGAAATCTGGGATTTTAAAAGCGTCAAGGTTAAATCTATGGCATCAGCAACATTTGGTGCCCCACTTCCTTTGCTACCCATAGCATATATCCACAGCACTTCACATAACAATGAATAGTTAAGGGCGTCCTCTTCATGCAGCCCAGAAAGGAAGGAAAGGGTGAGGCCTTGCTTCCTCATAGAGTAAGGTTTCCGCTCTTCTTCAGGGTCCAAATGGCACTCCCGGAGGAAGCTCCTGACGCCCGCCTTCCACTTCAAGATCCTGGAGGACTTCGTGGAGATCTTCAACAACCAGAGCATCAAAATGGTGAAGTTACTGGAGAAGAAGGCTGGTGGGGAGTGCTTTGACATCTTCCCTTACATCACTCTCTGCACCTTGGACATCATCTGCGGTTGGTTTTCTAAGCTCTAGCGAAAACTTAGGAAAGGGAAAATGGAGGATCTTTGAATACTTGGATTTCTAAGCTGATATGCATTTGAAAAGAATGACACTATCCATCCATTATCCATACTGAAGGGTATATAGATTGAGTTGGTTTAGTTAATGCAGTTAGGAAGTTTGTACATTGTCCTTGACTCATTCCATGTCCTGAAAAAACGACTGGCCAAAGCTCTCATTAGATATAAAAAATATATATATAATTTGAATAAGAAGTGATTTCCACAGTATCACGTAATTCTGGATTCATCAGTGAAAATAGGAGGGACAATAAAATAACTTGAATATATGAACATACTTCTACGAAATTAAATTTATTCCTGTTTCTTCAGAGACCGCCATGGGATGTAAGATTGGCGCTCAAGACAACAGCGAATCAGATTATGTTAAGGCTGTGTACCGGTCAGTAAGGCAATATATTTCATGCTTTATCTGATAATGATTTCACAATTTTCGGTTAAGCTTTATCTAATCATATTCATACATAGCCACGATTATTTCTTCAAGCCACGAACTTATGATATAAATATAAATCCATTCCCAGTTTTCCGGATATTAAAGCCAGTACTCCCCCCTCCCCCTCCCCAGGATCGGATCCCTCGTGCAGCACAGGCAGGCTCGCCCTTGGCTGCAGCCAGACATCCTCTTCAAGCTCTCCGGGTACCAGAAGGAGCACGACGCTTGCCTCAAACTCCTGCACGACTTTTCCTACGACACCATTCGGACCCGACGCAGGGAGTACCAGGAGAGCAAGAAGAACGAGGGTCAGGAGACGACCGAGGACGAGGCTCTGGGTAACAGGGAGATTGGTTATTGTGACTGGGAATTAGAGTTGCATTTCGGCGATAGCTAAGTGGGGATTTTTACGGTGTGATTAAGTACTTACAATGTATTTGTTCATGGAAGCGTATACCAATGAATAAACCCGCCATAAATCTTGCGCATGGGTGAGTTTTGTACAAATAGAGATAGATAGACAGATGTAGAAATATGGTTCTCCCAACGACACAGGCAAGAAGAAACGACTTGCATTCCTTGACCTTCTGCTGGAGTACTCCGACGGCGTCTCCCGGCTCACCGACGAGGACATCCGCGAGGAGGTGGACACTTTCATGTTCGAAGGCCACGACACGACGGCCGCCGCCATCAACTGGACGCTGTACCTCCTCGGATGCCATCCCGAGATACAGGTGAAGCGCCGGCTGCGTCTCATCTGTCTTGATTCATTGCTCATCATTCGGATATTGAAATATTGTGATACTAAGATTTTATAGATTTCACTTACACAAAATCATTATCATATAAATCCTGTTGAAATGAGTTTCAGATTTTTTCTTCTCTTACTATTTATTTTTTCTACTGAAGAGGAAAAAAGGCACAAGAAAAACTTACATGACATTTCTGGCCCTTAGGCCCGCGTGCACGAGGAACTGGACGGCATCTTCGGAGACTCTGACCGTCCCGTCACCATGGCCGACCTCAGGGAGATGAAGCTGATGGAGAACTGCATCAAGGAAGCT